TTTCACATTGGCCCATTCAGGTCTGCCCAATCTTTTAATTCTGATCAAATGTTCAGACCTCAAAACTAATTTTTTAAAAGGCCACAAACTCCAAATCTAGGAACTTAGCAACAAAACACTCTATAAGACTACTGTAACTTGTATACAAGTCACTTGAAAAATTCACTGACTCCTATAAAATTGAGATTTAAGTAGCTAGTAAGAGGGCAAATTTTGACTATTTATACTTGAAAAAGCCTAGGCAATTCAATAGAAACTTGATAACTGCACACTTAGTTTGCAGCATCTTGTACTCTATCCTTTTCTTTATTCACTTAATCAAAACTGAAGCACTAAATTTACAATTTAGAGAATTCATTAGATACAGGTAGAGGAAAACATTATTATTTACAATATCATTTCCTTGAATCTTTAAAATTAAACATGGCCTAAAATTCCCATAATCTGACTTCAAAGTGTTCATCAAATACTCATCAAATTCTTCCCTTGATACACAGTTAAGCAGGCACATGGAAGAAGCCAGGTATTGAGTCTGCAGCCCATCTCTGCATAGACCTTGATAAGTAGTGGGGGGTGGGGACAGGGAAGGAAGAAATAAAAGGCAGTTAGTTATCAGGACCATTTACTATTTAAAGGAACAATTCAGGCTGGGGCCTGTAATCCCAACACTTTGGGAGGTGGAGGCGGGTGGAACTTGAGGTCAGGAGTTCGAGACCAGCCTGGCCAACACAGTGAAACCCTGTCTCCACTAAAAATACAAAAATTAGCTGGGCGTGGTGGCACAGGCCTGTAGTCCCAGCTACTCAGGAAGCTGAGGCAGGAGAATTACTTGAACCCAGGAAGCGGAGGTTGCAGTGAGCCGAGATCACGCCACTGCACTGCAGCGTGGCAACAGAGCAAGACTCCATCTTAAATAAATAAATAATTCGATGCCATGCTGCTTTATGATAGAGCTTCAAATTAATCCCAAAAAAATTATAAAATAGGGCAAACAACGCCAGACACGTGACTCACGCCTGTAATCCCAGCACTTTATAAATCAAGGCAGCTGGATCACAAGGTCAGGAGTTCGAGACCAGCCTGGCCAATATAGTGAAACCTCATGTACTAAAATTACAAAAATTAGCTGGGTGTAGTGGCAGGCACCTGTAGTCCCTGCTACTAGGGAGGTTGAGGTAGAAGAATTGCTTGAACCCATAGGCAGAAGTTGCAGTGAGCCAAGATCACACCACTGCACTCCAGCCTGGGCAACAGGGCAAGATTTGGTCTCAAAAAAAAAAAAAAAATAGGGCAAACAAAAGTAGATAAAGAACAATTTAAAGACTAAAGATAATTCTGTATTGTTGGCTCTGACAATATCCTTTTAAGAATTTTGCTGAGAAAGCTAAACACATTTCCAGCTTTGGCAGTAATTTCAGACATTACAGGACAAACGAAAACATTTATTTCTGCAGAAAATTATAGTGACAGATTGCTATGCTATGGTTAAATATTTGTCAGTATTTCCATCTTACCCTCCAATTTCATAGCTTCCTAGTTCAGATAGTAAAAAGCTAAAGACAATTCAACTTGGCAAATAGTTAATAAAAGCTTTTCAATGACCATTCCCATAACCCAAATGTTTTATATATATATAGCCTACCAATAATATAGACTTAACATTTTTATAGATAAGTATTGCAATTCTGATTACTTCACGTGAACAAGATCATTTTGATAATTTTCCTACAGAAGACAAAATAATATTGTAAAAATCAAAACTAAATATCATGTCCTAACGGGGAAAAAATGCACTGACAAGTAAAATCTCTAACCTTTAACATTTATTGCAAACCACACCACTGAGCAATCTAAACTGAACTTCTCAAAGCCTATGTTATTATTTTTTTAAGCCCAGGAAAAAAATATTCACAGAAATTGTTGGTTAAAAAGTTTAATGTGTTTTTTAATGTGCATAAGCCATCTAGATAGCTTTGGGAATTACACAGGAAATAAATACTTACTTTGGTGAGCAAACTGATTAATTCAATACCCTCTTAGGAACTTACTTCAAAGTAATATGAATAGATTTTCCTACAAACCACCAGCCACTGTGAAAATCACCATGTACTGACATGACAGTATTACTGACAGTCTCTATACTATAAAGGAAAAGTAACTTTTTCCATATTCTGGAATCCAACATAAATCACTACCTCTGTTTTTGTAAGTAACAAGGCAGGGAGGAGCTATTACTGAGTTAACACTTATAGCCCATATTTATTTCATTTGATTTGGAACCTTCCTCCTGTTTCAATATTTTGCTATTTTAAAATGTACCCATGTTCACTGTTTACTGTGGCTCCTACACGGGTAAAGAAGAAAATTTGAGCTAAACAAGTTGCTAATCCTGCTTTAGAAATCAAGATCTGCTAGAGGAAAAAAACCTTCCTAATCCGTACAGAGGATCATCTCTATTAAAAAGTCCCTTAGCAGAATGGTATATGTTCCCTCAATTTCCACCCACCACTCCTGCCTAACAAATATAATAAGAAACAGAAAATAGGACATATTTCTATTTCTACAAAAAAAAAAAAAAGAAAATACTGGGTCCCGAAAGCTGTCAATATAGAACAATATCCAAGAAAGATACCCAACTCCACTACATAGCCAACTCAAGACTGAAATGTTTTTAAGAAGGACTTTGGATAGAATTAAGTAATGAATTTGTTGCTTACTAAACGTTTTTTTTTAATACGTGAGTGATATTTTAGCAAGTCAGTGGCAAGCTGGTCATGTGTGAGGGCACTGAGAAAACAAATTTAATACAGAGAAAAATCAAAGTGAAAAAAATTTTCAAAACCTTTGAACCTTTCTAAAGTAAAAGTCCACATGATAGTTACCATCACAAACAGGTACTGTACACTACACTTTAGCACCACACACTAAACTAATATCAAAACAAAACTTTAAAATATTCATCTTCTTTGCAGGTACTTGCAACTACTCACACCTGCCAAATCACTCTATTAAACAAACACGAAGTAAAATGGAGCCTTCTATCCTGAGCTAGAGAATACCTTTATAATATTACCTCATTTACCTTACTCCAGATTTATGTCAGACAGAGCTAATGAGCATACTCATTATGAGTATGAGAGGAGAGCTCAAAATTCTCTTAAAAACAAAACAATACCAAATAATCCTACAAAATCAGGAGAGCTGAAAGAAGAGAAAACTGAAAAACCAAAACCCAATATATAAAGTTCCTATACTGTTTTACCTTTGATGCAAGACCTTAAAACTTCCTCCTTGAACTCTGAAAGGAACTGGGAAAGTAATACTCCAACATGATATCTCTGCAGGTAACATAAACTAAATGTGACTCAAACTTAAAGATGTTTTATACAGTTAAACAGCTAAAAACAAAAAGAAAAAAAAAAAAAAGACACTTCTTTCCAAAACCCACACGAGAGGTTCAACAAATGATAACCAAAAAGGAGACCACAACGATTTCATTAAATGACTTTCTCAGGCTTGGAAGCAGCAATCGGTACTTACAGAAACAGTAATGTCTTGTAGAAATATAATGTTGTACAGTTTACCATTCAGATTTGTAGGCTAGAAAACATAGGGGACTTCATTCTACACTTTCCTGAAAATATGGCATTTTAGTTTTGAATATGAAGAAACCAAACAAATCGTCCTGAATAAGAAAAATGCAGGTTTTTTAAAGTCACAGCTAATCTCTGCTGAAGACTTACGTAAAATAAGAGAAATGAAAAATGCGATTTTACCAAAAAAAAAAGTACTCACATCTCCTAAACTTTTTTTTAAAAGACAAAGAAAAAACAAGAATGACAAGTGACCCAGTTTAAAATTATTCAGTCCACTACTTCTACACCTTCCACCTAAAAAATAAAAACAAAAATCATGATTCACCGTTAATCTTTCTCCCAACCAGTTAAAAAAAATTCTACCATCAAGTGAAACTGATTTTAAGAAAAGCAAATTTTCGGGCTGTCCATCTGTTAGGATGGTAAGCCATGAAAATGTTAAGAGCACAAAACTAGAGCCTAAAATCCTAAGTAAAAGCCCAGAACTGAGATACCAGGAAAGAGAACGCACGTCTTACATAAGCAATGGCACATGTTTTAAATATAGCTGGTCCTCCCCACTCCCACTCGTTGCTAGCTAACTTTGTATGTACCTGATCTCCACATAAACTACTAGCAATTCTGTGGTTTCTCATCATCTCCAAAACCGCAAAGACAGGGAGTCCACTCTGAATACAAAGGCCATCTTTCAACTTAAGGAGCAGAGCAGAGAGGAAATAAAACTGCTACTTCTGCCATCGGGCCCTCAGCCTGGGTCACGACTGCAGCACCGACAGCTCATCCTTTTGGGCAAGATTCAAGATTCAGTAAAACTGCACACTCCGTATTTTAAAAAATAAAAAGACACACACAGTCTTCTCTTTCCCTTTCAGACTAGTTTCCTGTTTACTGCAGACTGCGATGCAAAGCCATCCATTAATCTTTGACGCCTGCTCACTGCACAGGCCCCCTTCCTCTCTCCCCGCACCTCCTCCCACCACGCCGGCTGATCTCAGATGCGTTTGAACTATAGTAACCCCAACCCAGCTCGCGGCAAGCAGGCAGCGCAGCAGCAGTAGCTGCAGCAACCCGGCCGCCGCCGCGGGGCTAAGAGATTACGTTCAGCAAAAACTCTGCCAGGGAAGAGGCTCGGGAGCTCCCCTCCTATCTAGCCAAGGGTGCTGGCTCGGTCGCGCCGCGCCGCGCCACGCCACGTACCAAAAGGCTCGCGAAGAAAAACGCGGGCGAAGTTCAGCATCCGTGAACAGAAAGGGAATTCATTCCAGAAGGGGGGTGCACGGGTGTTGGGGGTCCTTGGGTGGGGAAAGCAGAACTGGAGAGAGAGGACGTAAGGAATGGCAAGCGAGAGAGGAAACCACGGGGACAAAAAGGAAGGGACGAGGAGTCCTCTTACTATAAAAAAGGGGCAGGCGGACGGGATGCAGAGTAATGGGTTCCCCCTCGAATAATGGATTGGCAGGCCCTTCCGCACCCCCAAACAACCTCACGCCACCTCAAAGAGGAGAGACTGAGTTTGGGCTGCGTAGATCAAAGAAGGGTAAGGCGAAAGGAAAGAGGGAGGGGAGCTTGGAAGCAAAGTGAACAAAGACGCAAAAGAGGCAAAGTTGGAAATGGAAACGAGAAAGGGATCTGGTAAAGGGCCGCTCTACAACGGTCTTGAAAAAGGCCTTGAAATGGGATGCTGGAGAGGCAAAGGGGGAGAGCCCCGAGAAAGGGCATCTTAGGAATGTAAGGGACCGCTCCAGGCCCTGGAGAGAGGAAAGGATGGGAGGCTGGGGAGGCGGCGGCCGAGGCCCGAGCGCTAGAGGAGAGGGGGCTTTGCCTGGGGCCCGGGAGGGAAGCGCAGGGTCGGAGAAAGGCGAAGACCGCGAGAGGGGCTGGAGGATGGGAGGGAGGGGTGCTGCGCGTGAACAGGGGTTGTGGACTCCTTCAAAGCTAGGGAGAAGAGGGAGGTGAAGCGAGATAAAGGGAAAGGGGCGAAGACGGAGAAGAGGAAGGAGTCGGCGACGCGATGGGGGAGGGGAGGGAAGCCGTGGGAAGCGGCCGTGGGGCGCGGGGATGGGAAGGGGCCGGGCGGGCGGCGCGGTCACCTCAGGCTGCGGCCTCCCTCCCTGGGGGACGGCGCTGCCAGCGGGCGGGCTCCGCAACTCCCCGGCTCTCTCGCCCGCCCTCCCGTTCTCCTCGGGCGGCGGCGGCGGGGGCCGGGACAGCGCGGCTCACAGCGGCGGCTCTTCTGCGCCGGGCCTCGGATGCTGCGTCTGGGGAGGCGGAGGCAGCGGCGGCGGCAGCGGCCCGGCCCGTACGGTCACCATCGTCCGCGGCAGCAGGCGCTCGCGGGCCGAGCCCCTCAGCAGCCGGCGGCGGCGTCGGCGGCCATAGCCTCCTGCGTTCGCTCCTCCCGCCCCCGGCGCTCTGCGGCGGCCGGCAGGGCTTCCACACTCTGCGCCTGCGCGCTTCCCAGCTAGCGCGGCGCGCCCTTCCCCCGCCCCTCCCGCGCGCGCCCGCTCTCACTCACAATCGCGCCCGCGGAGTGCTTTCCGCGCTGCCTCCGGTGCGTGGGCGGGAGAAATAAGCCTCGCCTAGCAGTCATAGCCCTGCTCCGGCAGCTATGGAGACGCGTACCACGGCGACACCTGTACGCGCACTGTGACACGCGCCATTCTGACACACGTGCTCTCTCATTTCCAGACACCACGGGCCGCACTCGCTGACACACACACTCACCTGCAGGGACCACGTGGGAGATTTGAAGGGCTCATCCTGTCCTGGTGCATTCGCAGTAGCAATGATGCTAGAATTCCTTTTAACCCCGTCACTGACTGGACTACTGTCAACTCCTTGGCGTCTTTTATGGCTCAGCGGTGCCCAGCATCGACTGCAAGCACTCAAACGCCTATGGAGTAAATGAATGGAAGAATGAATGCATTGGAACTGTTCACTGAGTATCTATTAACAATTCTGATCCCATCGTTTGGTCCGAAGAATTTTACTGCAGTATGAAATTAAATGGTGTTTGTGTGTTTGTCTTGGCTTGGCCTAAGGTTCAAAACAGATTAATGTACCCATTTGTTCTGTCTCTGTCCCAGTCTGTGTCACAAATGCACAAACCTACCCTAATTTAAATGTCAATACCTTTTAGGGCAGGAACTGTCTTCTACAATACATAGACTGAAGCATATTGTGTGTTTGCACAATGATAGTCTTCTGGGCTTGGCAAGACTTCCCCTTCCGTGTTTGTCTACCACTATGCCCCACCACGACCTTCCGCAAGCCCCACTTCTATCTTCCCTGTCTTCCACCACCACCAAAACCCTTCCACTGTTTCTTGCTTTCTCTTTCATTAGTTCCTGGAGAGCCAGTTGCTATGAGAACTTAGCCTGGCCTTAGATGTTAAAAGGGCCAGATGGGTAAGATGTTGCAACTATACTGGGTCATGCTGACATTGTGAAGCCTCAACTTCTGCATGTGCAAGAGAAATTAATGTGCTGTAATCTCAGTATCTGTGTGGAGGACCTTCCTTAAAAATTCCAGTCTCTGGCCTCTGCTCTTTGAATGGCAATCCCCCACTTCTGAACATGCTTTTATCTTGATAAACTTGTGAAAGCAAGCTCTGTATTTAGAATATGCAATCCCTGGAGGTATCAGTCAAGCAAACTCAGAGTAACTTGCCTTTGTTAGTTTGATAGCTCTGTAGGAATCAAGTGTTTAAAATATGTGGGAATTGTATACATAACTCACTGTAACCACGTTTCATCCAGATGCCTCAGACTATTTCACCATAATCATTAAGACTGAGTCTGTTTATCTGACCTGATAAATAAAAAAAATTACAGAGGCCCCATTGAATAATGACTGGAATAAGAAGCAGACCAAGATAGCAAGACCTTATCCCTTGGTCCCCTCCCTATTTTTAACAACTTTCCTACTGACTGAGTCAAGAAAAAATAAGGCCAGAAACAAATTACAAAGAAGCCAAAATGAACGTAACACTAAATTCTAACTTGATTTATTTATTCTTCTTGGATAAATGGCAGAATCTTGAAAATGTGATCCTTACAAGGAAGTATGGTTGCTGGATTTGTGTTTTAAATAGAGGAGAGGCCTACTTCAGCTCTTACCTTTCTTTTTTTTAAGTTGAGGGAAATAGCTTCAAAGCTCTGTAACCCTCACTATAAGCATTCTGGACTTGTAAAAGCAGGAAAAAAATCACACATGTCTTTTTACCTTTTAACTTAATAGCAGCTGCCTGTAAATGCTGAAGTTCAAAACAAGTAAAGAAAATTACTCTGGTAATGAAAGGGTTACTGCTATTATAGTGCTGCTAATCCAGTTTTGGAAAGCTCCACCTTGGCAGAAGCAGGTAATCAAACAGAACTAAAAAGAAAAGCAAAGGAAAAAAGACGTGGGGGTGGGGTGGGTGAAGAGAGGGCAGCTCAAATAAAAGCGCTCAATCAAGTGTAGAGGAAGTATTTTCTAGAGGCACCCAAACCCACCTGAATCAGGAGAAGCCAGGAGCTAAACTTGTCATTAAGTACCTGGAACAAACATAAGGAAATATCTAAATACCACCACTTGGTCATAAAAGGAACTAGTCCAGGGTGGTAGAAGGAAAGAAGTGTTATGTTTTATGACTGCCTAATGGCAGACCTTTCAGGATTCTAAAAGTTATTCCTTCCATTCTAAATGCATCCCACATTGAGGAGGAAGTCAGCACAAAATTTAAAAGAGTGCATATATGTTACAGTTCTAGCCATTCCAAAAGGCTCATTCCAACTGTTGCTAATAGTCACAGAAAGTCTTCTGTTGCAAATCCACAGACAATTGATGGCCAGTTTATTATGCTCTGTCTTCTAAATCGAGAGAAAATCATATAACAGATTTCACATGATGGATAGCCAACACTGGAAATATGAGGGAGAATTTTCATGTCATTTATTCACACACTTTTTTGTTCCTAATGTTTTCTGGGCACTTTATAGTTTTCTTTATCCAATTCCAACAACTGGGTATTCAAAGATATCCAACCCGATAATCAACTTCCTAATTAGCAGAGTCTAGATAATATATAGAGTTCATTCAACCTGGCTACCCTCATGGTTTGATTTTGAGAGTCAACTTTATGAGGAAAACTATAGTTTTGTTGGGCAACGTTATGCCAGTAAAGGGAGAGTCACTCTTTTTCTCTTGTGTGTATATATAGCAGCTTAATTGACATATAATATGATCCACCTATTTTAAAACATACAAGTCAGTGGATTTTAGTATATTCACTGAGTTGTATAACCATCACCACATGAATTTCAGAACATTTCATCATAACCTCCCGCTGAGGGAAAAAAACCCACATCCATTAGCAGTTACTTACCTTCTTGTCCCGACCCTAAGCAATCACTAATCGTTCTGCAATCAGTAATCTTTCTGTCAGATTTGCGTGTTCTGGACATGTCATATAAAGGGGATCATACAATATGTAGGATTTTGTGTGTGACTTATTTTACTTAACATAATATTTTTGAGGTCCATGCATGTGTAGCATGTATTGGTACTTAATTTTCTGTTCTTGCCAGATAAAATTCCATTGTATAGATAGATATACCATGTTTTGTGTATTCATTCATCAGTTATGGACACTTGAGTTATTTCTACTTTTTGGCATTTATGAATAGTGCTGCTATGAACATTCATGTGCAAGTTGTTGTGTGGACACATTTTCATTCGTCCTGGTAGAACTGCTGGGTCTTATTGTGACTCTATGGTTTCACTTTTTGAGGAACTGCCAAATGATTTTCCAAAGCGGCTGCACCATTTTACATTCCCACCAGCAGTATATGAGGAGAGATTTACTCTTTGATTCAGATGTCTCCTATCTGTTAGCTATAGGACCCTGTGCCAAGTGTACATGACTTAAGAACACCTCCATTTATTGTCTGTAAAATAGAGATAGTGATAATATCTACTTCAAAGTGTTGCTGTGAAAAATAAATGAAATGTATGCCAGTATTCCCGGTACAAACCCTGAATAGTTCCCCCTACTCCCTTTTTTTTTTTTGAGACAGGGTCAAGCAGTCTTTCCACCTCAGCCTCCTGAGTAACTAGAACTACAGGCACACGCCACCACATCAGCTAATTTTTGTGTTGAGACAACGTCTTGCCATGTTGCCCAGGCAGATCTGGGCTCAAGTGATCAACTCGCCTTGGCCCCCCAAAGTGCTGGAATTATAAGCAAGAGCCACAGCACCTGGCCTAGTTCCCCTTCTTCTGACTGTAGTATTTAGTTGTCAACTTTTATTCTCTAATAGGCAGATAAAGATGAAATTTTAACTTTATATTAACACTAAGTAATTCATACACATAGCTGGTGCTGAATAAACACTTTGCGTGGATAACTGAAAATAGCAATAGAACTTAAATTGTTTTAACACAATACATTTCTTTCTTTCTCCCTAGTATGGAACTAATACCTGAGACTATAAGAGGAGAAAGCATAGAAACAAGTCAGCCTTTTTGTTTGTTTGGAATTTTCTGGAAACATTTTTATTTCCCCAACATTTTGTTTTTAAGAGTTTCAAACATATAGAATTAAAAGAATATTCTAATGACCACCCCTATGCATACCATCTATATTCAACAATTGGTAATTTTTGCATGTTTGCCTTATCTATGTGTGTGTGTCTTTTGCTAAGCTAGTTTGGAGAGCTACCGACATCAACACGTTTCACCCCAAATACTCCAACCTGCCACTCCTAAAAATATTACCAATTACCATTACCGCACCTAAGAAAATGCAGCATAGTTCTCTAAGTCCTCTACTGCCCAGTCAATACTCAGATTTTCTCATTTCACCTCAAAATATCTCTTAAGAAGATCCAATCTGACAAGCCAGCTTTGCTTTTAATCAATCTGAGCACTTGTGACTGTTTAGAATCACTAACATCAGCAGAAAAAAAAAAATGTATTTTTGCTCTTGTTTTCAGATTTCAGGTCAACTGATACCTCTGTTCTTTTTTTTTTTGAGACGGAGTTTCACTGTTGTTACCCAGACTGGATTGCAATGGCATGATCTCGGCTCACTGCAACCTCCGCCTTCTGGGTTCAAGCAATTCTCCTGCCTCAGCCTCCCAAGTAGCTGGGACTACAGGCACGCACCACCATGCCCAGCTAATTTTTGTATTTTTTTTTAGTAGAGACGGGGTTTCACCATATTGACCAGGATGGTCTTGATCTCTTGACCTTGTGATCCACCCGCCTCGGCCTCCCAAAGTGCTGGGATTATAGGCGTGAGCCACTGCGCCCAGCCACCTCTGTTCTAACTAGCTACTTTCTTTGCTTTTGTTCTGATAAAGGCTGAGATAGGGAGTAGTGCAAAACTGTGTGTTGCTGTTTATGTGTGATGATATTCAACTAAATAAAAGGGTCATTGATTGTTGTAGACAGTTTTTAGCTACCTCCTCACTATTCTTCTTCTCCTTTTCTTCTTTCTAATACTACCCTGAACCTTGAATAAACATGTGATCTATTGGCCCTTGACTAGGAATGGAATCCACCAGTTTATCCTTTCTCCCTTAGTGCTTAGTCCAGGGAAGGACCCGTGAGCCACATTAAGCCAATCAGGACTAAGACTAAACCTCAGAGGTTTTGATTGAACTGTGGGAAGAGCAAAATTTCTCTTTCCTGCTAGACTTAAAAAAGGAAACCTAGGCCAGGCGTGGTGGCTCACGCCTGTAATCCAAGCACTTTGGAGGCCAAGGCGGGCAGATCACCTGAGATCCAGAGTTCAAGACCAGCCTGACCAACATGGTGAAACCCCAACTTTAAATTAAAAAAAAAAAAGTTAAAAAAAAAAAAGGAAACCTATAATCCCAGGGATTTACTGGTAGCTATCTGGGATACAAAAGAGAAGAACCAATTGAAGATTTAGCCAACACAGGAAAGAGAACCTGAGACATAAAAAGAAACCAGGACCTGGTCACAGTGTATGAGCTCTAAGCCTTATCTGAAGCCAGCATGCTCACCCCCTCACTCTTTAATTATATTACCCAATAGATTACCTTTTTTGGCTTAAGTCAGTTTGGCTTGTGTTTTCTATTATTTACAGTTACGGGTCTCAAGGCATTCAATCCTTATAATTTGCTTGTCACTCATCCCTGAGTATAACATGAGGAAACTAATAATAATAACGATAAGTGAATAAAAACACAATTGTATAGCTCCACATACCGTTATAAAATATAACCACTATCCAGAAATATAAGCTTTTCCCAGAAGACCCTCACATGCCCTTTCATTCACAGCTGTCTCACTAACCCCAAAGGTAACCAGTTTCCTGACTTTAATGTAGACACTTTTCTTCCTTTGACCACCCAACTATGAATTCCTAAAAACTGTAGTTTAGTTCTTGAATGCTATATAAATTGCATCAAATAATCAAATATTAGATATTCTTTTTTTTTTTCTTGAGACAGAGTCTCTCTCTGTCACCTAGGCTGGAGTGCAGTGGCAAGATCTCAGCTCACTGCAACCTCTGCCTACTGGGTTCACACAATTCTTCTGCCTCAGCCTCCTGAGTGGCTGGGATTACAGGTGTGCACCACCATGCCCAGCTAATTTTTTATATTTTTAGTAGAGACAGGATTTCACCATGTTGACCAGGCTTGTCTCAGCCCCAAATGACCCATCCACCTCTGCCTCCCAAAGTGCTAATGTTACAGGTGTGAGCCACCATGCCCAGCCTAGATATTCTTTTGTGACCCTAGCTTTTTCTGCTTAACATTGTGAGATTCAATTATGTTCTTAGGAGGCTACAGTTATTTCATTTTTATTGTGGCATAGAATTCTATCTATGACTAGCACAGGATTTAATCATCCTACTTATGAACACTGAATTTATGAACATTAAATTTTCAGTTTGGAAACTTGTCCAATCTGAATCATGCTGCTGTCAACATTTTTGCACTTGCCTTTCTGGTGACCATGTGTACACATTTCTCTTGAATTACTGGGCTGCAGGGCTACATATCTTCAACTTTCTTAGGTAACTCCAAATTGTTTCCCAAGGTGATTGCAGCACCTTACTTGCCTAACAGCAGTCTATTTCCTGTTGTTCTGTCTCCCAGCCTATAATTGGTATTGTCAGACCTTTTAATTTTAACCATTCTAGTGGGGTTTTTAACTTGCATTTCCCTAATTGCCAGTACGGTTGAGTACTTTTTCATATTTTGGGGGCCTTTTTAGATTTCCTTTTTGATGAACTGCTTGAAGTCTTTTACCCAGTTTTTCCTTAGGTTGTCTTTTGCTTGTTGTTTTCTTTTTTAATTTTTGTATATTACGAATGCAAGTCCTTAGTCAATTATATGTCATGTAAAATGTTCTGTTATATAGATTCCCTTTTTATTCTCAAAATGATGTCTTTTGAGGAATATAAGGTTTTAGTTTAAATTTAATATTTTTTATGTGTAATGCTTGTTTTAAACCTGTTTTTCTCTGTGCTCCACAGGGTCCTCTCTGCCATGAATTGAGTGTGCATATCTGAATAGACGTGTTTCTGAGCTTTCTATTCTATTCCACTGCTCTCTTTGTTTAACCTTGTGTTGACACCAAACTCTTCCAATTATTACAACTAAATAAGAAGTCGATATGTGGTAAAACACGTCTTCCCACTTGGTTTTCTTTGTTTTGTTTTGTTTTGTTTTCAAGGGGATCTTGGCTCTTTGCATTTCCATATCAATTTTGGAATCAGCTTGTTAAGTTTCCCAAGATCCTGCTCAGGGTTTTAGTTTCCACACATAGGTCTTACATATCTCTTATTACATTAATTCCTCCATACCTGGTGTTGTTGGGTTTTTTTTAATGTTATTACTAATGTTAATTTACTTTTTTTTTTTTTCCTCTTTCATCCAGGCTACAGTGCGGTGGCACAATCTTGGCTCACCACAATCTCCACCTCCCAGGTTCCAGCGATTCTCCTGCCTCAGCCTCCCAAGTAGCTGGGATTACAGGTGCCCACAACCATGCCCGACTAATTTTTGAATTTTTAGTAACGATGGGGTTTCACCATGTTATCCAGGCTGGTCTCAAACTCCCAACCTCCAAGTGATCCACCCATCTTGGCCTCCCAAAGTGCTGAGGTTGCAGTCAGCCTAGATCACACCACTGCATTCCAGCCTGGACAACAAAGCCAGATCCGGTCTCACAAAAAAAGAAAAAAATCTTAACCCATGGAGAGTCAACAGCTTCTCACAATAGTTGATCAGTTATAAAAAGCCAGCTAGCTTCTACCAGTTATCAGTAGCAATGGCACCAGTTGTTCAGATTCTATGAAGTTACTACTCCTACGTGTTATATACTCTATCATGTGAAGCAACCTCTGCACCCTGCAAACCAGGGTCCCCTCTAAATCACTGCATGGAGTAGTTTCATATAGTAATAGGAGAATCAGTGATATGTGGGTCCTCTTTTATCCATTATGTCACTTGCTGCTGTATATCCATATATTCTTTTTAATAAAATGCTATTTAAAAAAAAAAAATGTGCAGCCAGGAGAGAAAGAATCATATTTAGGCACCTGCCAGATGCCAACAACTTGAAGGCCATCAGCAACCTGCACTGCCTCAGCCGGCTTCTGCCCAGGTGGGGTCTGATGCAGCTGCTGGCACCCAGGGAGGATGTAAGTGGGGAGAGAGAGCATAAGTTGACCACAGGCCCTTGCAGGTGCAGAGAGCTCTCACTTTGTGAATGGAGATTGAGCCATTTAATTAATATCTTGACTTGACACATTTCTAATTACCAAAGCAAGACTGATTTTTTACTTAAAGTGAGTAGGACTGCCCACTAATTAAGAATTCTTGATATCTGTCCAAGTTTCCTTTGGAAGGCAGAAAAAAAATTACTCCTTCTGAATAAAAACTTAAAGGGATAGTTAGTAATAAAATCAGATTGCATTTTGATTACATCACGAATCTTGGGAGTTACTTCCAAAGTGAAAAGTTCAGATAAGAAATGATAAACAAAACAATTATGATTGCATATCAGATTTACAGAGCAAATGGAGGGAAAGATGATGTAAGCTGGGGTCAGTCCAGGAGTTAAGGAAAGACTTTTCATGCCATGTGAAGGAGTTTGAACAGGAAATCAAGGAAATCCTGAGGCGTTGATGTCGAAGAGTAACATTTAGGGCATTTACTATGTTTTAGGTCCTGTACTAGGTGATTCACATGAATTACCACATTTAATTCTCATGAAAAAAACTATTACGTAGATAGTATAATTATTGCCATTCTAAAAATGAGAGAACTGAGGCATAGAAAGGTCGAGTAAGTTGTCCAGAGTCACACAGCTAGTAGCAGCAGAACTCAGATACAACACAGACATGTTTGGGTTCAATGTGTACGTCCCCCATTATGGTGCATCTGCTTCCTGTCTACTGATAATGCCAGGATAGGTGATGAATTTGTTCACAGAGTCCAGAATTCAAGCCCCACTGGTCTCTCCTTAGTAATGAATGAATGATTACCTGAAATGACTATATAAACTGAAAAGACCGTAATACTTCAGGAATCTTCCCTGTGAGTTTTCTTTGTTTTTGTTATTGTTTTTTGAGACAGAGGCTCACTTTGTTGCCCAGGCTGGAGTACAGTGGCGTGATCTCGGCTCACTGCAACCTCTGCCTCCTGAGTTCAAGCAATTCTGCCTCAGTATCCCAGGTAGCTGGGACTACAGGCATGTGCCACCACTCCCGGCTAATTTTTGTATTTTTAGTAGGGATGGGTTTCACCATGTTGGCCAGGTTGGTCTCCAACTCCTGACCTCAGGTGATCCACCTGCCTCGGCCTCCCAAAGTGCTGAGATTACAGTTGTAAGCCACTGTGCCAGGCCCCTGTGAGTTTTATTTGATGTCCGATACGGTTTGGCTGTGTCCTCATCCAAATATCATCTTGAACTGTTGCTCCTGTAATTCCCATGTGTCATGGGAGGGACCCAGTGGGAGGTAATTGAATCAAATGAGTGGGTTTTTCCTTGCTGTTATTTTGATAGTGAATAAGTCTCACGAGATCTGATGGTTTTATGAAGGGCAGTTCCACTGTATACTCACTCTTGCCTGCTGTGATGTAAGATGAGGCTTTACTCCTCCTTCACTTTCTGCCATGATTGTGAGGCCTCCCCAGCCATGTGGAACTGTGAGTCCATTAAACCTCTTTTTCTTTATAAATTACCCAGTACTGGGTATATCTTTATTAGCAGGGTGAGAACAAGACTGATACAATGTTTCCCCATTGTTTCACAAAATAAGAACTTTTGCTTTGGGCCATAGACGTCTGAGTAGAGTCTGGCTAATTAATTACACTTTCTAAATAGGACATGGAGGTGGCAGCGAGGACAGTACAGACTAGACTTACTCTAACTGGGTTCAAAGACCGGTTCTGCCTCTTCCCAGCTGTGTGAACCTGGCCAAGGTACTCAACTTTTCTTTGCCTAATTTCCTATCTAATAGCACCTACCTCATAGGATTTTGTGTCCTTTATATGTAAATGTGTCATTATTTACATATAATGACAATAATATGTATTGTCATTTCCTTGTCTGGCACAAGGAAAGCAGCACAGCTATGGTCTGAATGTTTATGTTCCCCCAAAATTCATATGCTAAAATCTATTCTCCACTGCAATAGTATTAAGAGGTAAGGTCTCTGGGAGGTGATTAGGTCACGAGGGCTCTGTTCTCAGCAATGGAATTAGAGGCTTGAGGGAGCTCGTTAGCCCATTCTGCCTCATGAGGACATGTAAAAAGCACTATCTACCAGGAACAGGCTGTCACCAGACACACATTGGTGCCTTGATCTTAGACTTGCCAGTCTCTAGAACTGTGAGCGATATATTTATGTAGTTTATAAACGACCTGATCTAAGATATGTTGTTATAGCAGCCCAAACCAGGATAAGCAGTTACTATCATCCTTGTTATTATTATTATTTTTTTGCTGATCATGCTCATACCTTCACTATTCAAAGATACTAACGATACTATCAGTCAATATTTACTGAGCACATATTCATAGCATGTGTTAGATGCTAGGTACCGTATAAATGAATTAGAACACACAATTCCTGCAGATGCTAAGTGTGACGTAAATGAACCAGAACATAATTTCTGCCTTCAAGCCTCTCATGACCCAGTTAGATAGATAGACCTATGTGTGCTGTCATGTTATAAAGCTGCTTTGTACATATTTTATCCCTTAATTGATTATAAACTCTTTCTGGCATGAGCCACAGTTTATTCCTTATTGGATCCCTTACTCCCTTTCCCTTCCACTTAGGAGATTGTCTACAGTATGTCTTCAGCTAATTTGTCATCAACTTCCAAAAGCCTCATTTTCGTTTTCTTTTTTCTTTTTTTTTGAAACAGAATCTTGCTCTGTCACCCAAGCTGGAGTGCAGTGGTGCGATCTTGGCGCAATGCAACCTCTGCCTCCCAGGCTCAAGCAATTCTCCTGTCTCAGCCTCCCAAGTACCTAGGATTACAGGTGCTCCCCACCACACCCAGCTAATTTTTGTATTTTTAGTAGAGATGAGATTTCACCATGTTGGTCAGGCTGGTCTCAAACTCCTGACCCCAGGTGAACCACCTGCCTCAGCCTCTCAAAGTGCTGGGATTATAGGCATGAGCCACTGTGCCTGACCACGAAAACCTCATTTTCAGTAATCTTTCCTGCTGACCACTCCTATAAAGATTCTGGTCCTTTTTTCATAATGCCTTTGCTTAAGTGTTCTTCTCAGCACCAAGCTTCCAATTCACTGACCCTACCAGCTCTTTAGGTCTTCCCCTTATGTCCTTCCATGTTTCTTCACCCACCATAGTTCTATAGTGTGTCATTTCAATGTGCCAGTTACAAGGATTCTTGACTCTCTGCTCTGCACCTGGACCTGTGTGGCTGATATTGCTGGATGAATCACACAACCAATCACAAATCTCAAATCTGAGCCTTCAGACCTGCTTCACAATCTCACTGCATTGTCCTGATATGTTTGTTTCCCACTCCCAGAGAGGCATGCTCTGCTTTCTTCTCAAACCTTCCACACCATCCATCCTCTCTCTTCCACTATTTTCAGCTGAGTGAGTAGCTGAGAAAATCGAAGTGATCCATCAAATCCCTTGTCTGTCCACCATGAAATGACCACACTGTAGCGATATTCTAGGCCTTCTTTCTTGAACCCTGGAAGAGGTTCCCTGGCTTCAACCAAAGATCAGATCCTCCACTAGCAATCTGAATCTCAGCCTCTTGTTTATTCCAGCATTTAGAATCGGAAATAAATCTCGTTCTTTCCCATACCATCAAGTCCTCTCTCTACTGAATAATTCCCACTAGCATACGAGCATGATTAGAATGGCAGTTGTTCAAAAAAATGTGACCGGACATGGTGACTTGCACCTCCAATCCCAACACTTTGGGAGACCAAGGCAGGAAGATTGCTTGAGGCCAGGAGTTTGAGACCAGTCTGGGCAACCTAATAAGATCGCATGTCTACAAAAATGTTTTTAAAAATTAGCTGGGCATGGAGGCACATACCTTTAGTGCCAGATATTCGGGAGGCTGAGGCAGAAGGATTGCTTGAGCCCAGGAGTTCAAGGCTGCAGTGAGCTATGATTGCGCCACTGCATTCCTGCCTGGTGACAGAGTGAGACCCTGTCTCTTGAAAAAAAAAAATCCCTCCTCACAACCCTCACCTCCACTTCTGTAGCAGGAGGGGCCAAAGGAAACAGATCTCTCGGACACCGAATACAGGAGAAAGGAGTTTATTCGGCCAGGAGCAAGGTGGCAGAGTTGTTGCCTAACAGCCAAGCTTCCCTAGCAAAGGAAGGTTCCATCTTTATATAGGCTTATACTTTAGATGTTACACGTGGAAGAATCTTAGGTTTATAATGTAACATATGAAAAGGATCTCGGTTTACAGTCTCAGGAATTACATATGAAAAGGGCTTCAGTTTACAGTCTTAGGAATGAAGAGGGGAAGTTTACATCTTAGGAATGAAAACCGGAAGTTGATCTGAGATGCCTGGGTCTCCCCCTTCACCCCTCCCCCACTTTGAGACCCTCACCACTTTATAATATTAGTGAAAGGTCTCACTTTCATTCTCACTTTCCAGATTTTCTGAAGAAACCGACTGATAATGTTTCATATAATATACTTGTGATGTCATTTTTTGGCTAACTACAGTAGTGATGAATCCCCTAATCATCTGAAGGAACGGGGGAGTAGACAAGGGAGCAGTAAACAAACACCTGTTATTATTATAACACTTATGATGAGGGTTTTGAATCCTCCCAAGGATGAGAACCAACCTCCGAATAAGGACTCAGGGTTAAATCCGTGCTATATCTGTACAGGCACGTGAGCCACTCTGGTCATGTCTCGCACAATATCCTCCACTGCTTGCCCCTGGTCATCTATGTGCAGATGGCAGTTGGTTAGACTGAATTTTCCCTAGACTCCTTCTTCGGCTGCTAGCAAATAATCTAGGGCCAGTTGGTTCTGATAAATCGCATTTCTCATTTGAGTTTCTTGTTGGGCCAAGAGGGACAGAGCTTTGCCCATTTCATTATTGAGTATTTCCAAAACAGCCTGCAACCGGATGATCTGGTTGAGCATGTAAATAGGGGTCTGGTATCCCCATGAGCCATCCCCAGCCCATGTGGCTGGCCCATAATACTCAATAATTCTCTCCGGTGGCCACTCATCATCTGTCCAATCCCCTAGTTTTAGGTCTCTCTTTTCCCTAGCGGAGTAGACTGGATGCCCTAACAGCTCACCTGTCTTAACAGATAATAGGAAGAAAGAGGGCTTAATGATGCCTATGACACAGCTGCCTGTCCATCTCATGGATTACACACCTTATACTGAGTGCCATTATATAAATAGGTTCCCTTCTGTGTCCCTGTACATTTATAAGAACTGCAGGACAAAAGAATGGCAGTAACTTTTACGTCCTACCTGGTGTACATATTGAGGGCATTCTTCAAAATTAGTTAATGTTTCTACTGTACAAGTCCAAATATTAAGAAGAACAAGTCCCATGATGAATCTCCTCATGCTTCGGCCATGCGTGGACCAGCCAGCTTCCGGGATGTGGCTGGAGCAGGGCTTGTTGTCCTTTTTAAGGTGATTCTGCAGTCCTTGCCTTGGTCTAAGTCTCAGCTGTTGCTGGTTTTTACACGGCTGTGGTGGATTCAGGCTGGGATTCCCTGTACCTTCACAGCTGTGGGATTGGTCAGGATCAGGTCTGAGGTCCTTTCCATTGTGGCTTTAGAGGGGCTGTATTCCCGTCCTTTATCCACACATGATTTCCTAGTGAGAAAGGGTGAACTGGGGAGAAAAAGGCTTACAGGACATTTGTTATTTACTTAGGTTAAAGTATCCTAGGTGATTCTCCTTAGAGCTGGTAACTAGCATCCTAACTCAATCTCTCCCCACTCCCGAGGAGTTCCTAGGAGTGCCCAAAGTAGGGGAGGGGGCCTATGGTATAAGATTTCAAAGGGGGGATATCCTGTTTTCCTAAAGGGGGTGCCTCTAATTTTGAATAACCCCAAGGTAAGTGTCTGCACCCACTCTAATCTTGTTTCCTGACACACTTTCCCTAAGCTGTTTTTGATGGTCCGGTTCATTTTTCCAACTTTTCCAGAACTCTGAGGTCGGTAGGCAGTGTGCAGTTTCCAGGTGATACCCAAGGCCGTTGCTGTTTTCCAGACTAAATCTGCCACAAATACTGGTTCACTGTCTGCTCCGATGTGCAATGGTAGTCCAAACCTAGGGATAAGATCTCGAAGCAGCACACAGGTTACCTCATGGGCTCCTTCAGTCCCAACCAGAGTATGTGCACACCAGGACCAACAAATAATCATGTCCCCCACACTTGGACATTTCAATAAAGTCTACCTGGAGATCTTCAAACGGAGCTGCTCCATAAGCTTGAATTCCAGGGTGTTGCCGACATGTAATGCATCACTGTGCCACAGTTTTGGTCAAGGATGCTAAGTGTGAGATGTAAAAGTACAGGCCCAACATCTTTTCAAGCGACTCTTGACCTAAATGAGTGGTCTCATGTACGGCTTGTACACCTGCTGCCCCCAGCAGCTGTGGTACTACTATTCTTCCATCTGGCAGTTGGATCCATCCTTCTTTAATCAGTTCTGTCTGGAGAAAGTCTCTTTCCTCCTTAGAGTAAGTAGGTATTAGATCAGGGATCTGGGGAATCAGCGGGGCTGTGGCTGCCGTTCAGTAGAGGGCAGATGCTGCCTTACCAGCTGCTGAATCCGCTCGGGAATTTCCCAGGGCCACGGAGGTGTGGGCCCACTGATGTCCTTGGCAATTCACAACCGCCACCCTCCGGGGCTTCCAGACTGCTTCTAGCAGCTGCAAAATTTCATGCTGATACTTTATTTCTTTTCCCCCTGAGGT